GTTACTTTCTCCAGGGTGTAACTTTTAACGGTATTTTTGGCATAAAAAAACGAACTCAGACCTTTTTTTTTTTTTTTTTTTTTTTTCCTTTCCTTTTTTCCCTTTAGTGGCAAAGGGGTTGTAATGAAGAGGGAGGGGGCTGGAAAAATAAGAATGTGCAGGCATATGTGTGCAAAAGGTTTGAATTGATGGGAAAGGGGGGAAAAATGGCTCTTAGGAGATTTCCATCTGAGTGGCGCAGGGGTCCTCATCCAGACGAGAAGCCCATGGGCTTGAAGGCTGAGTCGCTGACCCGCCTGACTGCAACCCCCTGCTTGTGCATTTACCGTCCGCTCGGCAGCTGTCGCAGCACGATGCCTCATCCTCTGCCCGCAGCCTGGCCCGGGCCCGTTGCAGTCAGCGGTGCGTCCGGTGCTTGATTTCAGCTGCATTTCGTGTGACCCCCCCCCCCCGCCTTCCTTGTCCTGCTCCGAGAGCTCTTGTAGGGCCTGGGCCACGTGTGGCCTTTTCCCTTGGGGTGGGGGCATCTCCTGGCTCCGGCTTCCCCCAGCAAAGGATGTTCCCAGAGGCAACCGGCCTTGCTCCCGTGGATGTCGGTAAACCCCGTCCTGGCCCCGCAGCAGGTTGGCAAGGTCCTTCTCCTGCCCCACCGCTCCCAGAGCTGCACCGCCTGCTTCCTCGCCTCCTCGCTGCTCTCCCGGGGCCCATGGCATGCGCCTGCCTCCCAGGTCTCTGCTCTGGTGCTCTGGCTTCTCCATATGGCATTAGCAGGGATCCTGGTTTTCTCTGATTAAAAAAAAAAAAAAATCCCAAATTTTCAGTTAAAAAAAAAAAAAAATCCCAAATTTTCAGTTAAAAAAAAAAAAAAATCCCAAATTTTCAGTTAAAAAAAAAAAAAAATCCCAAATTTTCAGTTAAAAAAAAAAAAAAATCCCAGAAAAACATGGATTTGGGTTTTTTGTTTTTTTGTTTGAACTGAAAATTGGGGATTTTTTTTTTTTTTTAAGGAAACACCACTATATATATAGATATGAAACACCATTATAATGAGAATCGCCAATGAATATGCATTTAAAAGAGAAAATGTATAGATATAGCGGTGTTTCATTTAAATCATGGAAAAATGTGGATTTTGGGGTACCTTTTTTTAAACTGAAAATTGGGGATTTTTTTTTTTTTAAACCAGAGAAAACTAAGATCCCTGGTCATTAGGGGCTCGGGGCTGCCCCGACCACACTATGGCCCCCCTGGGGCAGACCTGCCAGGGCCGAGGTTTCTATCCCAGCCCCCAGCGCACCTCTACTAGCTTGGCGGAGGCATCAGCAGGGCCCAACCAACACAAGCATCCTGTGTCGTCTGCCCCTGGCTCTGCCACTGGCCTCTGGGTGACCTTGGGCAAGTCTCTTTGCCATCCAGGTGCCCTTTTCCCATGCCTGTTGCTCTAGTCCCATAAACCCCCAGGGAGGGGGCAGCGCGGCCCCTTGCTCTCGTGTGCCCCGGGGCCCCCAAGGCTATCGCGGGACAAACGTGAGCGCTTCCCCCTGACCTCTCGCCCTCCTCGCGTGCCTGTATTTTTCTCTTCCAGTCGGTTCGGCACCAAGTGCGCCCGCTGCGGCCGGCAGATCTACGCCAGCGACTGGGTGAGGCGAGCCCGCGGCAACGCCTACCACCTCGCCTGCTTCGCCTGCTTCTCCTGCAAGAGGCAGCTGTCCACCGGCGAGGAGTTTGGGCTGGTGGAGGAGAAGGTGCTGTGCCGGATCCACTACGACACCATGATCGAGAACCTCAAGCGGGCGGCGGAGAACGGTAGGCATCCCCCACGGGATCCCTTTCAGTCCCCAGTCTCTTCCCGGGTGATTTGGGTCAGTGCCCTGCTATTGCCAGGGCCGCGCGGAGGGCAAAACAGAGCTCTCACAGGTGAGCAGGACCCCGGCCTGGCCCAGGGAAGGATCGAGTCCCCCACTGTGATCTCTGGTGCTTTCTGCAGCGCCAGCCGAGCCGAAGCCGCACAGCACGTGTGGAGACCGTGCCCCGGCCGTGCTGGTCTGGGGCTTTACCCCACTGCTACCGGCCCCCCCCATGCTCTCTCTCATCCCTTGTCCTGCCCCACGCTGCTGACCCTGACTTCTGCTCGTCCCGATTGCATTGTGGCCCCGTGTTTTCTCTCTGTTCTCCGCTCCTCTCGGCTTTCCCATAGGACACCAGCCCCCAGCGGACGTCCCCGGAGGGGGACAGCACCTGAGAGATGCGGGTGGGGGGCACCCCACGTAGGAGGCTTGGTGCGTGAGCTGCAGCCTCGCTCCAGACGAGCTGCCGAGGCTCAGGATCTGGGATTTCTCTGGCGTGGAAACGTGCGACACCCCCCTCCTGCCAGCTTTGATCCAGCGCCGTGCGGCTGGGGCTCGCGGGTCTCCCTGGGTAGCCTGCGGGGCAGGAAGCAGGAGGAGTTTGGAGGCACTGACTCATGCGCCTGGAAGGTGGGAAACCTGGCAGCCGGACAGAGCCTTTCCCTCCTTTTCCACCGGCCCTGCCCTGCCACGGTGGTGCCCCTTCCCTGCCAGGCCCTTTGGAAAGGAGATGGCGCAGAGCTGGCTTCCCAGGCAGGTCCACGCCCCCAGGGGACCGGCCCGCGTGGTCAAGGTCGGCGGTGGAACGGAGCGGCTCCCTTCCCTTGGACCGCGCCCAGCTCCATCTTCCTGAGCGGCAGCTGCCAAGCAGGCGGAGAGACATGGAAGTGCCGAGAGGCTGGACGCGGTGTTTGGAAAGAGCAGGATGCTTGCAAGGAGGTGGGGAAGTGGAGCCAGGGCTGCGAGGGCAAGGCAACCCCATCGTGGCACCTCCGTGCTGCAAGCCGGGGTCTCTGCCAGTGGCCCCCACCGGGCGCCGTGCAGATGAGCTGCTTGCCGTATGGTCCAGGGCGGTGACCTTGCTTGGCATGGAGGGAGACACTGCGCACTGTGGCCATCCTGCATCCTGGAGCTGCCCTGAATCCCGAAGCATCTGCCAGCTGCGGCTGAGATCCCTCTGGACACTGAGCTCGGCTGGACCCGGCACCAGCGAGAGATGAACCAAGGCAGGCCGTGGAGGCGAGGGCTGGCGTCTCCCTCCATCCACCCGAAACGCAGGGTGCACGAAGCAGTGCCTGATGCTCTGCGCGCCGTCCGGAGGCTTCGCCGCCCGCAGCCCATGGGTGAATGGGGGGCTCGTGGTTGAAAGGGCAGCTTGTTCTGTGATGTCCGAGGCGTGAGCCGGACACAGGCCCTTGGCTGGCCTGGCGTGGCGCCCTGCACCCTGCCTTGCTGCAGCACCTGGGAGAGCACTGGGGCAACCCCAGGCCCTGTCCACACTGGGGGGCAGTTAGACTTGGTCCTCTTCAGCCAGAGGCAGGCGCAGCCCGGGGCAGGGATGCAGGAGGGGAGGCCGCGCACTGTTCCCCGAGCACAGGAGGCATCAGGGTGACTCTGATCTTGCCCCTAGGCCAAGGCCCCCAGCTAAGTCTCGTGGGTTTGGGAACAGCTGAAACTGGTGGGGGGGCTGCATCTTACCTACCCTCCAGCCAGGCCGCACTGGACTGCGGTCACCCCCCGGGGGAGGGCCAGGGATGGGAGCAAGATGGAAAGGCCAGGTGCTGCCTGCATCTCTCCTGGACCGCACACTTTCTGCTCTTGGGGCACGGAAGAGAAGACAACGAGGAGACCTCCCGGGGCGCTGGCTTTGCCCTTGCTCCGTGCATCCCCCGTAACGATCGTTGCTGGGCCAGGCGAGCGCAGCGCGCAGGGAAATGAGCGGGTGCCCCGTCCCATCCCGCCCTGCGCGGCATGTGGAAGCGATTAGCTGACCCGACACGAAAATAAGCAGCGTTTCTGTTTACAAGGCTTGAGCAATGGGATGAAAACAAAATGCCAGATCGGGCTGGGAGGGCCTGACTGGGACGCTTGCTCTCGCCACGTCAGGCCATATGGCAGGCGGATGTCAGGGGCCGCTCTGGACAAAGGTGGTGCGTTGTCGTGGCCGAAGGGGACGGCGGGGCAGGGAAGGTGATGCTGACCGCAGCCTGTGCAGGTGTGGCCCTGTCGCGGCTTTATCCCTCTATGCAGCTTGAGCACCGGGCGCTGCCTCCCACAGCGCGACGGGGCCACGGGAGGGTCTCGGGGGGGGGACGGGGCTGCTGGCAGAGCCGATCGGTTGTCTGCCCGGTCCTGTACGCGAGGGTAGGCCTGTCCCTGCCGGAGCCGGGCAAGAGCCCCGCGCCTCCCGGGAGCCGGGCCTCAGAGGGCAGCGGTCTCTGGGGCGTTCAAGGGCCACACATTTCTCTCCAGTAATTACAAAGCAGTTTCTCCGGCACATGAGGTTTTACGTAGGAGAAAAATAAACAGATGTTGCCGAAGCCAGAATCCCATTCATCATCCTGCAGGAACCGTCAAACGAGACGAGAAAGCCCTTCAACTTGGGCCAAGACAATCACAGCCCCATCCAGCCTATGAAGCAAGTGTCTCCTGGGACCAAGGCAGCCTGGTGAGAGAGGGGACGTTGCTGAACCCTGCGGCAAGCCGCCACCGCCACTGCTCGCTCGCCGATACCTCTCCGGCTTAGGGCACCCGCCCTCCCCGAGCCTGGCGAACCCCTCGGGGGAGGCTGGTCTTAATAAAGATGTCCCCACACACCCCAACACTTGGCTTCACGCAGCGTTTGAGGTCAGGCACGAATTGGTCGCAGGCGTGGGCAGCAAGCGGGCTCGGCATCCTGCTTCCCCGATGCTATCATTCAGTGACGCGCGTTGTGGGAAACGTGTAGGAAGCCCCTGCCCATGGACCTAGGTCTTAGGCCTTGCTGATCTGCGTGGGTCTGTGGTCCGGGATGACGTGTTTTTAAGTTTCTCGTTGGGGGCAGGAGGACTGGAGGAGGACGAGCAACGTGGCAGCTACAGCATCTGAGCAGAGTCCACGCGGGGCAAAAGTGGCAGCTGCAGAGAGACATCTGCAGGGTGCTCCCCCCTGCCTCGCACAGCCGCAGATGCCTGGGTCCTCCCCACGGAGGGAAGCTGTCTGTTTGCTGCTCCGTGGCTGGGGCCGGCAGCCTACTGCTGTCTCCGTGGTCCCTTTGCACTCATCGGCTCAGGGGGTCCATGGTCCGGACCTTCTTGGCTGTCGTGTGCCCCCTCCATAAAGCCAGAAGAGCAAGTCATTCCAGTGGCTGCAACGAAGGGAGGTGCGCCGGTGGACGCTGATCGCAGTAATAGTCCTGGCTGCACCCTCAACCCCGCCCAGCAGCGCTGGCCCTGTTGCATCGATGGTGCCAGGACATCGGCTTTGTCTCCGTCTCCCAGAACGGCCCTCGCTGAGGCATCTCATCCCCAGGACGGCACCGCTGACCATGCTGTGCTCCTCCCAGTGCTGTCACCACCGAGCAAGGGTCTGCTAAACTTGACCTTGCACCACCCGGGCCCAGAGGCAGAAGTCAGGCTGATGAAGACCAAAGCTGCGTCCTGTTTCCACGTCCTACGTGCTCCATTCCTGCCTAGTGCTTGCTCTACCCCTTCTTGCACCGGGTCTGTATGTGACCGTAAGCTCCTAGGACAGGTGTTGGTGTTTGCACACAGTAGCATCGGGGCCCCAGGCCTGGCTGGAGTCTCTAGACAGCAGTGATGAATAATAGGTGTGCAGCTGGGGTGGGAGGAAGGAGCTGGCTGTGCCCCTGCTGGTATTTGCTGTGTTGGGTGGTGTCAACCAGGGGTCTCTGCCAGCCCCTCTGAGATGATCCCAGAGCTATCTGCTGCCACTGGGGTCAGCAGCCGGCGGTGGGACCATTCTCTTTGGGTGCAGGCAATGCCACGACAGCTATTCTGTTTATTCGTGCAGCAGCTTTTGGCAATGATATGGTCTTTCTAAAGGGCAGAGAGATGAGGGGTGGGGAGCTGGGCTGGAGCTTGGGGGTCAGTTCTCTGCTGCCCCGTAAACTCTGCATCGCCTTGAAGTCGCAGTGTGTGGGTGTGTGCTTCTTACCTGTGGCGTGGGGACAGCAGCTCCTCCGTAGCACGCCCGGGTGCTGTGCGGCGTGCAGCGCCGGGGACATTAAGGCCCTATAAGCACTGCATGGAGATGTTTGACGGTGCTTCAGGCTGCTGCGTGGGAACGTGCTCCATGGAGGGGAATTGTCCTGCTTGGACCAGAGCTCAGGATGTGTTGAAGCCCACCCTCCTGCACCCCCGGCAGGGAGCATCCCCCTCCCCTAGGGAAGAGGCAGGGAGGAGGCATGCCGGTCAGGGCCCCCGGCAGCTGCACATCTTGGCTTCGTGCGCTCTTGTCTGCTGCGTGTTTGAAGAGCCTAAGTGGAAATCCCCCTCCCCGTTCTGCTGCAGGAGGTACCTTGCGGTGGGATGCCGGGCTGGGGGGTTGCAGTGGCTGAGCCTGGGGGAGAGGGGCCGGGACATCCTGCAGCGAGCCTGTCGCCTGCGTCTATGGCCATGCAGGTCCAGCGGGGACGCAGCGGCTGCTCCAGCCCAGCGTCCTCCTCTCCTGAACCCACCACTTGGATTCTGCACCGGGGTCGGGGTAGGGGCGGCGTGGCCCGATTGCACGGCTCTCGGGCCAGCCTCCCATTGTCCTCAGCAGGGGTTGGCTCGAGGGAAGGCCAGCAGGCTGGGTTTGAGCCATCAAAGCACCTGTGCAGCCCAGGGCTCAGCAAGCCAGGACTCTTGCCACCACCCAAAGCCCCCCCGGCCCCATCGGGGGGGACAGCTTCTGTTTCGGAGATGCCACTCAGCCGCCAAAAAGGGGCATCGTTCTGCTCCAGCTGTCTGGGGACCCCTCCAGGTGTTTGCAGACCCCCCCCCCTCAATGGCTGGGTCTGTGCGAGGGGGCTCTGATAGGCACCCAGGGGCAAGCCCAGGTCCATCCCGAAGAAGGGGGCTAAGATGCATTGCTTCTCACTGCAGGCAACGGGATCACGTTAGAGGGAGCTGTCCCCTCTGAACAAGACAGCCAACCGAAGCCAGCAAAGAGGGCCCGGACGTCCTTCACAGCAGAGCAGCTGCAGGTAGCCCGGGTTCGGGTGGGGTGGGTCTGCGGGTCCAGGGGTGCTCGGGGAGCGCCCTGCTGATGCAGCTCTCTCCCTCCCCATCTAGGTCATGCAGGCACAGTTCGCTCAGGACAACAACCCCGATGCACAGACCCTTCAGAAGCTGGCGGACATGACGGGGCTGAGCAGGAGAGTCATTCAGGTGAGGGCAGCCCCGCCGGGATTTGATGCACGCAGCGTGGCTGACTGCCAGGCAGTCTGCACCCAGGGGCTGGGCCCCTGCTCCGTCAACGCCAGCATTTTCCTCGCTGGTTATTCCTGCCAGTTTAGCTAGATCCTTCGCTCTGTGTGGGTCGGCTCTGCATCCTCCATCCATTTGCTGCTCTTTTCGTTTCCCATTTTTTCCCACCTTTTGTTTTCCTTTTTCTTAACTCTCTTTTTTTTTTTTCCCCCTTTGGTGATGAACATTTAAAAAAACAAAAGCCCACCGCCGAGGCCAAGCCAAAGAGACGAGTGTGAAATGAAAGCTGCTTTTAATCCTCCGGCCCCAGCCCCTTTGCTCTGTCACTGAGACGTGCCCGTGGAGGGGCCTTTCCCCAAGAGCAAACAATGCTCCGTACAAAGACGGGTGTAGCTTGGACTACCCCAGGCCATGGAGGCAGGGAGCTTGCTGGAGAAAACATGCGGGTTGAGGGGTTTGAGGGTGCAGGGGGATTCAGCAGCCAGGAGGAAGGCCCAGAGGAAATCCCAGCCACAGTCGCTGCAAGGTTGGTGGGCACGTGTGGTGTGCACGGGGGCAGCTCGGGTATCGCCGCGCAGCGCCCGGGAATCCCCTTGGCTTTCACGCGCTGCTGACGCGCTCTGTCCAGCCTGGACCAACGTGAGAGCCCAAACCCAAGCTTGCCTGGCCAAAGGCACGCTGGGATTTGTCCTGTGAAAACCCAGCCCGAGCTTCTGCTGTGAGGCTCTTCGATAAATGGAAGATGATGTATAGGTTGGGCTGTTTTAAGCTTGCATATTTTTAAGGGTCCTTCTAATAGGAAACAATTTATCAGACCTCTGCTAAAAGTTTACGGCTGTTTCATTCTTCGTGATCTGATATCCCCGATCTCTAGCATAGAGAGAGGCCGAGAGGACAATCTCTCTTAATGGAGTCGTGGGGGTTTTTTTTAATTGATTATCTCTCAAATAAATGAAAATGTAGGGAATAAAACACAAATTCCAGCATGCAACCAGTTGAAGACCACGTGGCCCATATTCAGACAGAAGGAAGCAGGATTCAGCATCCTATTAGTCAAAGCTGTCGGGTAGGATATTGAAGGGAGGCCTCTGGGCTCCGTTAATGGGTCTGTACTGCAGATGTGTAGGGTATGAAATGCTCGCTGGAGGTGTCATCTCTGCAGAGGTAGCCTGTGATTTTATTTTTTCCCCCCTTGTGCTGCCCCTGCCCACACTCGCGCATGCACAGCTCAGCTTGGCTGCGTGGTGCTTTCACCCAAAGCAGCTGCTCTTGCAGGGGATACAGGGTAGGGCCTGACAGGGGCTTCCATGAGCTGCCCTCTCTGAGGATGCAGGTTGTCACACCCCAGTGCTGGTAATCCCGCGGTGCCTTCCCACAGTCCCCTGCTTGTGCCAGGGAGGATGAGAAAGCATGTTCTCCGTCAATGCACCGGGAATGATGGTGGCGTGACCAAGCTTAGGCAGCACAAAGAGCTGGGGGGTACGCCCCGATGAGCCGACATGCAGGTGTGTGTGCAGTATCAGTGAGTGGGCCTGCAGCCTTAGTGAAGCCAGTCCCGGTGCCAACATCACAGTCACGGTGTACCCAGCATTTTCCCTGCATGCGGCAGGCTTGGCGCAGACCCCGGGCAGGGCACTTGGGAAAGAGGGAGATCTCCTCTTTGATCCACCTCTCCAGCCGGTGCAATGCTGATGCCGGTTCTTCCATGCGAGCTGGTCCTGAGAACTCGGCTTGGAGATGCCTGTCGGTAACGGGCCATTAAATCTGAGAGATTTTAAAGGCAGAAGTGGAGAGCTTTAGATCTGAGTTCACACCCCACCCCACCAGGCCCAGCTAGGAGAACCAGTGTCTTGACCAGTGCACTGAAGTTGCTGGATCCCCATCGCGCAGCCTCTGCCAGCCGCGTTGTAGTGCCAGCAAGTGACTTTTCCAGCTGAAAACTAAAGAGCCCCGCGATTCTGCTTTGCCGAGCTAAAATTCTTGCTCTGGAAGATGTTAAAAATCGAGCTGTAAAGCCAACCAAGCATGGTCCCCCTGCACCGAGCTCCTAGCAGAGCTTGTCACGGGCACCCCTTTCCCCAAGCCATTTAAAACAAGATGGATTTTGCTGGGGTCGAAACTCAGCCCAGTTGTTTCTGTTGGTGTTTCAGGTTTGGTTTCAAAACTGCAGAGCACGCCATAAAAAGCACACGCCCCAACACACAGTGCCACCTTCGGGAGCCCCCCCATCCCGGATCCCTTCCTCGCTGTCTGATGACATCCACTACTCTCCCTTTAGCAGCCCTGAGAGGGCCAGGATGGTAACACTGCACGGCTACATAGAAAGTAAGTGCCGACGTGCGAACCGGGGGGTGGGATGTGCTTGGAGAGCAGACAGCGCAAAGGGTCCTCTGTGGCAAACGAGGTCTTTGACCCCCTGACGAGAAGCAGGGTGCTTGGTTAATGGGGCTGTTGCATGGATACCCCGTGGAGAAGTCCCTTTGCATTTACAGCACGCAAATGGCGCCTGCGCTTTTCTGTCGTGTCGGAGATCCTCTGCCCCCCGCAGCTCTTTGAAAGGTCCGTTCAGCGGAGAAGACCAAATAGCAGGGAGGAGCGGAGGGGCGGGGACAGGATTAGGTAGGGGAAGAAAGGTCCCTGGAGCCCCTTCTCCTTACCCAGGGTCATTGTCTGGGGTTTACCGTGCTGGCCTTTCGGCTCCTGCCCTTCCCTTCGGCAGATAACGACCATGTGTTGGTGCCGGCGGGTGGCTGAATGGACGTGTTCCCGGGGACGGGGATGAGAAATGATTATTCCTGTAATTCCCTGGGCTGGTGGCTTGTTTTGGGACCAAGAGCAGCGGTGTCGTTAACAGGACAGTTCAGGTTCCTGCAGTGGCTGCCGTAGATCCGTTTGCTCCTGGGCAATTTGTGGGGCTCTTCTTTCCTTCCTTTCTGATCCGCAGGGATCTTATAAGCTGAATTCTGTTTAAGCATCGGCATGACGTCCCAGTCCCTTTTCCTTGCCCCTGTGTCCTTGCTTGGTATCAGCTGCCTAGTTTGGAGGGGGGTTGTCGTGTGCAGCACAGCGAAAGCTAAAACTTTGGCACAAGGAATAGCCCGTTGACAGTAACAGAGGCTGAAGCCCTCTTCTCATCCGCAGGTCAGGTACAGTGTGGGCAAGTGCACTGTAGACTTCCTTACACTGCTCCACCAGTGCACCTCAAAGCAGACATGGAAGGACCGCTATCTAATAGGGGTGAGAAGGTAAATGCAGTCCCTCTTTCAGGCTCCGAGTCCCAGCGTGTGCATAGCATCACTCCCCGGCTTCCTGCCGTTTGTTGTCTGAGTGCGGCTGATCTGCGGGGCCACCAACCAGCCTTGCTTCATCCCAGTCCCATCCTGTCTGCCACCACTTCATCTGTCCTGTCATGACCGCCCCAGGCCCCGGGGTTGGTGACCAGCCACTGACAGAAGTGCCGTCCGTCGGTGGTCTGTTCAGCATCCCGTCTCTGTGAGCCGTTGGGCTGTTGCGCTTGGGGTGGTTGAGCTCCTGTCACCCATCCTTGTCTCCTCCCTTTCTGTGTGGTACTCGGTGTCTTCTCGTGCTTCATTAATCAGTGTGTCAATGCTGGGGCAAACGGGCGTTACTAACAACCTGGAGCAGCTTTCACCATCCGCTGACCCATCAGCTTTCTATGAGTTAATGTTAGAGGCGTTTCTTTGTGATGCTGGAACAGCACGACTACTATTAACTACTAGGATGCTGCCTGTAGAAACTACCTGGCAATGAGGCAAAATACAGCAGTGATTCTTGTGAACACTTCAGATGCCCATTGTGTGGCTTTATTGTTCACATGAGCAAATCCTCCATGGCCAAGACTTCCAAAAAGTGTCTAAAGTTAGGTTCCTACTTTTTTATTTGGGTACTTACTAACTACTGATCACTTGCCTTTAGCTTTTTGGAGATCTTGGCCTCTCTTCCCAAAGCTGTTTGGATGGTATTTGCTAGCCTGCAATGACTGAGCTCTGGTCAAAGCACTGTGGGTTGAGGACAACTTCTAGATTTCAGTGTGGCCCCCGGTTTGTTTTAAATGTTCATGATGTTTGCATGGCTGTATCTGCATGTGCCTCACGACAGTTTTTGCATGACAAGGATGCATGCTCATTTGGAGAACTGCACCATTGCCTCAGCCCTGATGCCCTCTCCCCATGCCCGTAGTCCTGGGATTTCAGCGCAGGTCCTTGTTCAGGGAGGTCTTGGGCCAGTGGAGGTCTGGAGGCTGCCGGTAAAGGTGCTCCCTTGTAAAACAATCCCTTTCTTCTTTGCATGCCTGAGCTCAGAAATGATGCCTGCTCAAAAGCCAGGTGTAGAATAGGCCTCAAGGGACTCTTCGTATCAAAGAGGACCCCACAGAAGTGACCCTAGGGCTCTGGTTCCCAGTGCGAGGGGGAGGAGCGTGCACACACGCACAGACCAGGCTGCTTTGTTCTTACGAGCTGAAGGACTAACGGGAATGGGTGAAAGTCCTGATCTCATCTTAATTGCTGGCATAGGTTTGCCTTAAGGGATGACTTGAGAGCTGAAGATCTGCCTGGTATTAATATATTCCCATTACCTCCTGATGCACAGTACGGTTCTCCTCTCCCGAGGTGGCATTATTCTGGGAGGAGGATTGCTGAGGCCTGGGTCCAAACCGTGCTTTACAAAAAGAAGTAGGCCAGCGGGGGGAAAATCCCTGATTGAGCAACCCTCTTATGTCCATGTTCCTTAGAAATGGGAGTCTCCTGTCTTGTTGGTTTGCTTCTGTGCCAGCTAATGCTCCATTCACATTTCTTCCATTAGGTCATCCTATTTCAGTATTGACTGCGCGAACTCTTCCTCATCTGTCCATGGCGCTACCAGCACCACTGCCCCTCAGTCGTTGAAATACTGTGACCAGTCCAAGGCAACTAGGATCAGTCATGCTGGAGAAAGTCCATTCCCGCATTTCTGTTATTCCCACCGACCAGCACCTAACAGCCGGTATTTTCCCCTGCCAGCAGCACAGTGTGTGTGTGTTGAGTGCACAGTTGCATTTTCACTTGTTTCTTGTGGACTTGTAGAATGACAGTGAGTCTCCCTGAGGTGATGCCATGCCTAGCCAAAATTAGTGACGACTGCACTTACACCATTCTTGCTTCCAAAAGGACAGAAATGGGGAGAGAGCTATTGAACACTGAGCCAGGGGTAGCTCTGATCGTTACCTTCTAAAATAGAGAGGAGAAATGAAAGGGGTTCATTGGATCGTTTTGCACCAGTGAAACCGTTGAATCCAGTGGTCCACTCCTTTCTTCTGCAAGCGAGAGAGAGATCTGACATGGGCCCGTAGCCTCAGCTGCTCGGCACTTGGGCAGAACCTCTGGTTCCACGTTCTCTGATTGTTGTAATGCCATTAAATCAACAGAAAGTATGCCAGCAGGGAATAGAGCCCTTTGTCCTCAAAGCGCTTTAAAACCACAAATCCAGGAACCGTCCCTGGAAGGTAAGTCCACTTTCATATCCCAGATTTAGCAGGTTGGGAAACGAAGACAGAGGTTGGGTAGCTCAGCCAAGGCCACTGAGGGGAGTGGGTGTCAGAGGCAGGTGAGCGCTCTGCACAGCTGCCGACTGCCTCCCAGGGCTTTAAGCAAAAGACCCAGCTGTCTTCAGTGACCATCAGCCCAGTTTTCATGTCTTCCTCCCAGCTGGCCTGCTCCTTGTTCACCTGGAGTCATGAATGGGGGATTCCAGCTCGTACCTACCCCAGACTGGGACCGGGAAGCTAGGCATCTCTCTGGTTGGATCCCAGCTGCAAGCTGGGCTGTGAACATAGAGGGTTTAGTTTGCTTGGGTGCAGACCCTAGAGAGACCTTAGCAGCAAATGTGTAGCCCGTGAAAGTGGTCACTGGGTTGCTGGACCTGTGGGCACAGGCGCAGTAGGAACTGAGGCTGTGACTTCTCTTTTTTTTCACTTTTGATTTTTAAAAACAGATAAAAACAACCTGGTTTAAAGAGTGCCTGCAGGCCAGGTAGGAAGAGCCCACGGCTGCAAGCATGCAGCAGGCAAGGACAGAGTGTGCATGGGTTGTTTAAAGGCCAGGCAAGTTGATCCGGCAGCTTCTTTTGATGCTTCCCTCTGTCTTTGTGTTGCAAGCCATTGCTGGCGTGTCCCCGCTCCTGCTCAGAGCTCGCCAAGGAGAGCAGGCTGCTTGGGCTAAGACGGTCTGAAGTGACAGCTTGCAAAGGGCCAGGCTGCCCTCTCCCGTGCTGGCGAGTGCTTGTGCATGTGGGCGGTCTCACTGCTATGTCTCACTCTGGGCCGGAGAAGAAACTCTGAAATAGCGTTTCACAGGCTAGCGTTGCTATATTTGCTGTCTCCTCTTGATTTTCTCGTAGCTGCTATGTAACAGCTTCTCTCTCGGTGAGTGGCCTGAGCTGCACAGACCAGCGCCGGCCAGACTTGCTGCCTGTTGGGGTTTTTTTTCAGCTCAGTCTTAAATACCCATTCTTTGCGCTCTGGAAATTCCTGGCTCAGTTCCCTATGTGGGTTAGGATGGCTGTCGTGCTAGCATTGGGCAAGCCATAGTCAAACGTGGCACAATGTCTCTGGGATATGCCCCATCACCTCACTGTGCGTGAGCTTCCTGGGCACGTGGCTCTAGCTATAGCGAGGAGTGCTTGCCACAGGGACTTCATATAGCAAATTGCAGAAGCAGACATGGATTCTGTCGAGGTGACCGTTAAGATCTTCTGACCTGAGAAGTAACTGAGCTGAGAAAGGAGGTGAACAGATATTGGCCACATCTACATGAGACATTTACTGCAGAGCAGACTACTGAGCTTCACAGTGTCTTGCATCTACACGTGCAGGGCTATCAGGCTAGAGTAAACTAATGAACTTGTGAATACAAGTACGACCTTGCTGCGGAGTTTTTTTTACTCTGCAGCAATGCATGTGTAGATGCCGACCCGGCTGGCTGGGCCAGGAGGGTGCTTCAGTGCGGGGACTGCCTGCCATCTTGCCCCCCACTGGAGCCCCCCATGCCCCAGCTAGCCCCTTTGTGGCATGTTGGGCGGGGTTGGAGCAGCTTCAGGCTGGCATCCTGACTCCAGGGCCCCCTGCCAGCTGGGGCTGCTGTAACCTGGCTCAATATGCTGCAGTTCCAGGCAAACGTTCAAACAGCGCACCCAGGAGCAAAAAACTCCAGCGCAAAAAAAAAAAGCGCCGTAGTTTATTGCTTCAAATTAATTGCACATGTAGATGTGCCCATTGTTACATACGTTCAGTGTTATAATGATACAGATGGTTAGGTCAGAATTCTGTCTAACTGCAGCCATCAGTGAGCTGCTTTACCTCCAGCTTAAATTAACATTTGAAAGGGGATATGAAATTAGAAGTCCGTAAAATACTATTATGCACCTCCTGAGAAGTGAATAATAGTTTCCATTGAACTTAACCAATCAAGAGACACTCATCTGCATCTGTGATCCAATTGGGCAATGTTGTTCCAGAATTCACTGTTATTGCCCCTCTGAGAAGGCAATGGTAAAAATTTGCGTCTGTTTTTAGTCACCGATAAGCCAGATTTCCACCCCCCCCCCCCCCC